TTGGGTGAGCACGGGTAGCGGGTAGAACCAGAACCTGGGGGTAGAACCGAAATCGGAACCGGAACCGGAACCAGAACCAGAACCAGAACCGGAACCGAAATCTACCCAGAACCCGCACTGTGCGAGTAGGTTCCGGTTCCAATTTTTTGGAACCGACACTGTGCAGTTCTGGTTCTTGTGTGTGGAGGAACCGAAACCAGAACCTATAAAAAGAACCTAAAAAGGGTACCCTGTTTGGAACCTATAACGGGTACACGGTTTAGAACCAATTTTTGGAACCTGTTTTGGAACCTGGACTACAATGAAATATTTGTGAAATGTGAATAATGGGAGATTTCTATTATTTTACATATAAAAAAAATTAAAATTGAAAAAGTTAAACTTTTTAGAATAACCTAATTAAATAAATATACTAATACAATTATACTTATTACATATAAATTACACCATATTAAAAACTTTAATATCTTAATATTAAAGTTTTGATTAATTAAGTGAATAATTGGAATTATGATCCAATTAAAAGTGTTTTAAATTTTTAATGTTATTAAAAAAACTATTTTTGAATAAAATAGTATATTTGATTGAATAATAATATATTTAGTTATTTACTTCAATTATTAAGTTCTAAGTACATCTATAGTATATTAGCAATTAATTAATTATATATGATAAATTGATAAACATTAATAAATTTAATTACTAGTTAAATATCATACTTAATCAATTATAAGTTTATAACATTACATTATAATTAAATAATTACTTAATTAATTATAATTTTATAGCATTACTTAATTGATTTATAGTATAATTAATTATAACATTACATTAATTGATTGCTACTTAATTAATTGACTTATAAGTTATAACATTTAGTATATTACTTAATTAAATGATTAAAAATTTAATTAATTATAATATTACATTAAAGATTTATAGTATGATTACTTAATTCACTATAACATTACATTATAGTATGATTACATAATTAATTATAACATTACATAATTAAATAATTACTTAATTGATTATGACATTATATTATAAATATTAGTAATTATTAATTTACTACATAAACATTAGCAATTTAGCATAATACTTAATTAAATGATTTGAAATTTAATTAATTACAACATTATATTATAATTAAATAATTATTTAATTAATTATAATATTCTATTATAAACAAATTAATTATAATATTATATTAAAGATCTATAATCTGATTACTTAATTCACTATAACATTACATTATAGTATGATCACATAATTAATTATAACATTACATAATTAAATAATTACTTAATTGATTATGAGTTATGATATTATATTATAAATATTAGTAATTACTAATTTACTACATAAACATTAGCACAATACTTAATTAAATGATTATAAATTTAATTAATTATAACATTACCTTATAAACATTACATTATAAACATTAATTAAGCATTACATTATAGTTAAATAATTACTCAATTAAATTATAACATTATTAATTATACTACATTATATTATGATCACTTATTTAATTATAGCATTACATAGTTAAATGATTACATAATTAGTTATGAATTTATAACATTACTTAATAAATTTAATCAATTATAACATTACCTTATGTATTTATAATATGATTACTTAATCAATTATAACATTCCATTATTAACATTAGTAAATTAATTAAATGATTAGAAATTTAATTAATTATAGTATGATTATTTAATTCATTATAACATTACATTATACTATTATAGTATGATCATATAATTAATATAACATTACATAATTAAAATATTAAATGATTACTTAATTGATTATGACATTATATTATAAACATTAGTAATTTATCAATTTACACAATACTTAATTAAATAATTAGAATTTTATTAATCATAACATTCTATTATAAACAATAATACAATACTTAATTAAATGATTAACAATTTAATTAATTATAATATTACATTATAAATTTATAATTAAATAGCATATTACTTAATTAATTATAATGTTACAATTTACATTGTAGTATGATCACTTAATTAATTATAACATTACATAATTAAATGATTACTCAATTAATTATGATATTATATTATAAACATTAAACATAAGTAATTAATTAAATTATTAGAAATTTAATTGACTTTCTTGTGTTTATTTTGGAGAAATGATTGGACTTCAATCACTTGACGAAGGAACATCCACGCCTAATTTGTAACATTAGACATGAGTCATGTTATGCTTTTTGGGTTGTTTTGTAGTTTTATAATTGTAGTGATTGAAATTAGTGGGAGAATCAAAGAAGTTGGTGATAGTTTCTAACTTTCTATATTGTTGTTTGTTTGAATGATTTTGGTGAAGTTATTTGATGTGAATTGTGATAAATAATTGTTTGTGTTTTGGTTTTGATTGACAAATTTTATGTGAATTGTGATGAATTGATTGAATTCAAGTATTGCCTACAGATTAGAGGTTATGAGTTACATTGGACACAAATGAATGAGTAATCAAAATTTATTAGGGGTGTATTTGTAAACTTTTAACGTATTTTTGTCATTTTTTAAACTAATAGAGGGTAATTGATTTTTTTATAGGATACCCGAGAAAGGAAACATTTTAGGTTCCAGTTCTTTGAATTTAGGAACCTGCACTGTACGGTTCCGGTTCCGGTTCCCCCAAAAAATACAAGGTACCCGGAACCGCTCACCCCTACAAAAAATAGTCTATTGTCAAACTCATACTCACCCACATTTTAAATACCATTTTAGTGTCAAAAACATAATTTTATAAGTAATTTTTGTAGTCAAAAAAGGCAAAATGATCAAAAGTCCATAATTAATAAAGGCAGCATGGTCATCGAATAGTGACTGTTGGAGAAGAACAATATACGTTAGCAAAAGATGGCACATGTTAGCAACTCAGATCTGACAGGTTTTTGCCATTTTTTGACTGCCCCCAACATTCAAAATCACTTCCGACACCTCCCAGAGAATCCCATCACCCCCTCTACAAAGTCCAAGCCTCACTTTGCTATCATCACTTCCCATTTCCCACCACCACCTCCATTCGCACGACCGACCCTTCAAGTCAAATTTTCGATCAATTTCTTTGCCATATATTCCCCCAAACACCACTATCACACTCCCCACAACCCACTCTACAAAACCCTCACCTCCATCATCGTACCTTGCTCGTCAATTGTCAATCGTGCACAACACGACCTTTTGACTTCTAAGCCAATTTTCGATCGTTTTCAATGTTAAAAATCATCCCTACCACCACTAATCGATTCCTTAGATCCTCATCTCCAAAAATCCCAACATCCCAAATCCCGTTTGCTCACTAATCATCAATGATTGAAGCTCCTCCACCCTAGGGTTTTTCAAGTTTTAATTTGATTAATTAAGATTGATTCGTTCAGTTTTTGCATTTGTTAAGTTAAAAGACAATTGAAAAATGTTTGTTTACAATATTTTCTTGTCGTCAACCCTCCCCAACATCGATGACAATTGCCAACCAGGAAAGAAGCTAAAAAGAGAAACAATGAAAGGCTAAGAAGAGGGTTTTTTCATAAATCACTATATTTTCCACCCAAATCAAAGGAAACATATTATTTAGATAATAATAGTAGAAAAGTGTCAATGAAACTTTTTTTTGAGTGGAAACACGTCGTTAACTCAATAAAAAAAATTACAAATATATGTTTTGTTATTGATTCCTTATATTATGAATTCACGAATTTATATCGGGATAAATGAATGTCAAGGAAATTAAATTATTAGATTGAATTATTTATTAAAAAAAATTGATACCTGTAATTTCAATTTTTGTGGACTTGATCAAGCTAGTTCTTAGCCTTTTCCCTGCTGCTTCTAAAATCAACTTACATAAAATTTAACAATAAGAAAGATAATTTGTTTTTTCCACAAAAAACTCGATACAATATCAAAAATATTTTTCATGAAAATACAATTGAGTAACCCAAAAAGGGGGAAATCAATCACGTTTTTGTTTCAATTTACAACAAGGTACCCAGAAATTTCTAGGAAAAGGTTAGCACAACAAATCAATAAAATTACATATTTTTTGCCCTTTTAAATGAAAGTTTATGCCTGCAGACTGGTATTTTGTCTCGCTCTCTTTTTTTTTTTTTAATCTTTTTCTTTATTTTGCAAAAATATACATGAAAGATTGTATACAACATGACTGATGGTGAAAACAAATCATAGAGCTATAATAGCAAGGCAAGCAGTGAAGTTCTCTTGCGTTTTGAACCCCAACAAAGGTTTAATTTACTCACCTTTCTTTTGGTTCCAAGATAGCCTTGACAAGATGGAGCTCCACAATAGCATTTCACCTCAGGCCCAATTGTATAATCTGCAGATCAACCATAGAAATAAAAATTTCCAACCGCCCTTAGATCAACATATGAAATTCAAAATTTCCAAACGTTCTTAGATCAATGCATTTGAATGATCGAGATTATATCTAAATGTGTCATTTCAAAGTACATTAATTGCAAAGTTAATTAAATCTTAACCATCCAAAGTTTCGTTGAACCTGTCTAAATATGTGTATTCTTATCAACCATGGCAGTCTGATATGTTCACCTGGTCAATTTACCTCAATAAAAATCATTTCTTTTCTAATCTTCCAGCTCAATTGAGATGCTAGTGTAGAAATAAACTCAATTTCAGCACCAATTTTCATTATCAGGTGTAGACTATGCAAATACAGTTGAGTCCTACAACCTGTATCGTATGTCAATGGTTCTCCAACTTTAATCGAGCGAGCAGCAAAAACACCTACACGTGTTCCCCTCAACTTGCCTTCAATAAGAGCAAAATAGAATGTTAAATCATATAAAGCCCAGCATAGTTCTTTGAGAAGAGGACCAAATCCATTCATAATCTGAAGGGAACCAGAAGCTTCTGCAATCTTTTTACCATTGAGTATAAGTAGACGTAGTAATATTAGTGGCACTTACCATTTCTCCAATATACAGTTGGGATCGCAACCGTGATTTAGAAAACGAGATGCATTCCCCTTGAAAGTAGCATCAATTGTAAAATCTTTTCGAATTTCACACATGTAAAAGTTCTTCACTCCTCGATATTTCATGTCCCACAGCCTCTGTTCGCACAACGCATCATCAATAACTAATAAAGAAAGACAACCGTTAATAAATGTTTGCGATAGCATCTAAAAGATGAACCGTAAAAGAGACTTCTAAGCCTACAAAGTTCACATCCATGTCTTCAAAATCCTCAAAACGAGAAGCAAAATATGAGGCAAGGCAAAGTAATCCTAAAAAATGCTTAAATACATATAAATATGGAAGCTAAGGTCCAATCAAGAGCACTACCTTCCCCAATATACTCGATTATAAATTCTCCTTTACTAATGGGTTCAGCAGCCTCCACCCCCCAACCACAAAATTCAGTCTGAAAAGGAAGACAATCCTTTAATGATATCATAACATAAAATTTTCTGTAGAAAAAACGTTAATGAACAAATGCAACAAACTAAGATTACAATGTTTTCTGCTCGAGTGATACTAACTTGGGGCCATAATTTATGCAGTCTACAGATAAAATTTCTCACCTTGACAATTTTGGTCTTCTTCTCTTTGCGGAATGGTCTGTTTGTGCAAGTTTCTGCGCAGTGACAAGCCTTTGAACAGCTAATGCATTGAACCCTATATGATAACAAGTTTATGCTTTAAAACTGGTATGTGGCAGACCAAATGCTAACTATAACTTCTTTATTTCACTAAGTTTCAACCAATGGATTCATGTAACATAACAAAAGATAAATATTGCTTTCTAATATCTTTAGCATAAATATTGCAGTTTGTCAGTGTTTAACTTGGAAGATAAGTAGGAAATACCTGCAAACACAGTCATCACAGCATTCAGATCTACAACTTGTGCATCCGATTCCATCATCAGAATCATCACGTTTCTTCTTTACCAGGTAAATATCTAATATCAATTAAGGCCAGTTTGGTAACACTATATGTTAACAACTATCTGCCAAAATGGAAACACTAAAACTATTCCATTCACCAGTTCTTAGTAACGTATTAAACCATTCAACTACAGTGTATGAAATTGCTCAATATAACACTAAGCATTTATAGGATACTGCGCTTGATGTGAACATATGAAGGAGGCTCCAATTTATTCCCTGTCAGATCTTTCCATGTGAAGTCAATCTTGAACTCCTCATCCACATAAGGTAGAGGTAAGCGAGCGAAAACTTCCTAGAATATGAGACAGGGAAAAATGTTAGCCTGTGAGATCTAGAAATGACAAGCTAATTACTCAAATAGAATATTTATATTACTTATTGTGATTAATTAACAAAATATCTCATAATCATGTCTGCACATTACTTTCATCCTCTCCTATTTCACACTATTAGAGCAGTGCCCAAGTCAATTATTGGTTTAATTAGGAAATAGATAATCAATAAAAGCTCGCATCCAGAACAATTCTTAGGAAAGAAAGAAATTTCATATGTATTGTACTATTACATAGCTCCATATTAAGAAGGGAGAGCAGGGGGTTTGGGTGGCCATTTTCCCCACCGACCAATGCAGACGTGGCATAATATCTCTTGAAAAAGTAATTCATATATCTTGAACCATCCATTATAAAATTCAATAATCCTTACAAAAAGTGTGCAAAAAATCTGACCTCTATATCACATGTTGCCTCTGCATGCTGCTCATTCAACAAATATATCAGTCCTGTCAGCCAGCCTAATCAATAAAAAATAATGGAGAAATAAAACCTCAACAAAAATGACAAATGATTCAATTACAAGGTCATAATATGCTGAAAAGCATTTGGTTCTTTCTGTCTGAATACAGGTAACTAGCTTATACTAAATATTAAGAATAACTCAGTTCCATGGTCAATCTGACTTACGAAATTTCAATTACAAGAAGCTCAGGTCATTGTCTTGTAGACGTTTGATGGTCAGTTAAACAAGAACTTGAAAGCATGTATAAGGGAACCAGTTCATTGACCAAACAGACAAACACAAGAATACAGATATACACTGGCGGTTCCTATGGGATACAACCACCATGAGAGAAAACTAACTTGGGGTTCACATTTAGTCAGAGGATATTTCACTTTAGCTGCTATATGTGTCCCTACTAAGTTGATTATACACATAAACCAACAAGCATGATAATTATAGCTAATAAAAGTGAGATCTCAACCTAAGTATACGTTATTGGTTTTTATTAAAAAGGTGAGGTATAGATTTTAAGGTGAATACAGTAAATAGACATTACTGATTAAGGAAAGAAGAATTTGACCTTCTGATCTAGCTGCCAATCTGCTGGATGTCTCCAACAAACTGCTCGTCCAGGTTGGTCTTTCAAATGAATCACTTTATCTGACCATGGTGCACATTTGTCATGTGATGCTATTTCGCATCGCACACATCGCCATTGTAATTTCTGTCGGCAAATGAAGCATGCCTGTGTACAGAATATGTCAAGTAGATGAGCAATAGAGGTAGTAGAAATTAGCACTGATTGGACTTGTATTACCTCTGGTAAAAACATTACAAATCAATTATCTGGGAGTGGAAGAACATCACAGTTTCTAAACTGGAAATACAGTATGAATTTTAAAGAACATAAAACTAAAATGAAACAACAAAAAACAAAGTTACTGAACAGAAATGTGACTCAAGAACTTCTTTTTTTTTCCTGTAAGAAACTATGAGAATATATCAAGAATAAAAGGAGAGGGCACATAACGTGTAGCCGATGATCATTCAACCATTACAAGAGCAACCGGATTGGGTATCAAAACAATGCAAATGTGATATAAATTATAAAACTATTTGAACACTTAGGCCAAGTCAGCCCTCAAATTCAGAACCCCTTTGCCATTCAAATAAATAAAGTAAAAAAAAAAAAAAGTGTCTTGGAATATCTTTTAGACCAGGGTTCAAAGGAAATTCCAAAAACATATTTTTTTTCCCATACTGTGCTCTTCCTCTCTCTTCTTCAGAATTAGCTTGTAGAAATTATTCAAATTCATCTAAGTAGAGCTCCATTCAAATCTTCCTAAAAAACTTGCACATCATTAATCAGTCCCAAAGTTAAATGTTCTTTACAGCAATTTCCACAGTGAAATGATGCCAAAAGTTTTAAGAACAAAGAAAAGATATATTTCATAAGATCTTACATGTTGTGGACACTTGAACTTTTTGATATTAGAGATCCGAAGTATTTCCTTTGCACATATTAAGTGATAAACTCCTTGGCAACCACGAACAGTGCATAACAACTCTTCCCCAGGGTAGATGATCTTATGGCAAACAAGACATTCAACCTGAGATGAAGCCAGAGCAACCTCAACACTTCATCATTTATATCAGCTGTCAAAAAGCAAACTGAAATAATACAACCTAAGCTTCAAAACAGAAACATCTATTGTCATCCAGACTATCACCATAGAGAGATAGGAAACAAGATTTTGAAACCATTTGCTCGTTTTCGTGTCCAGTCTGAAGTAAACAAAACATAAGATTTACAAAAGAACTTCTACCACACATCTTATTTCTAATTCATTTAATGCTTAACAAGCCTTGTTGAACAAAAGAAACAAGGTACAGAAAAAGCTTTCAATAAAACATTCACTCAAGCCATAACCTGCAAGATTTAAGTTGTCAAAAGCATGTTAGTCAACCAGTAAGATCCCTGTTACTAGGGCAGCTGAGCTAGAGGCTAGCAATTAAAAAAAAAAAAAAAAGAGCTCCTAGTATTGAAAAATTTATTTTGTTTCCCTCTTTCTGTAAAACAGAGCGAGGCAAGATGGAGCAATCTTCCACGTCTCCTCAGTCACTTTATTGAACCTTAAATTGACAAACTACAATAGCAGTGAAGCCAAGGAGCACTACACGCTTTCCCTTTCCACGAGATGATCTATTTAACAAACGTTTAAAGATTCATTATATGAAATCGGAATTGCAAAGCCCTTTCTCAAGCTAATGCCGCACCTAAATATCCTTACTATGAAGTTTTGCTAATTTTAGTTTAAAGGTTAAAGGATAACGGTCTATTTTCTAAAATTTCCGGAACTCCTTAATAAGAAGTTATCCTTCTGCATTATTTCTGCACTCCTAACCTATGTAATTTAACACACAAATTGTCACTTGCATGCCTACGAAATCTACAAATTCAAGCTTCTCTCCTGCTCAAACTTAAAAGTACTCACAATTATAAAGAATCAAACTAAAAACACCGAGGGTTTCAAAATAATTTTCTATGCTTGTTCTTAGCTAGATGATTTTATCCTACCAATCTCGAAGTTTCTATTTAACCGAATAATTACCATTTTCTTCGCGCTGATGAGAAACGGAAGGTGACATTTTGACGGCAAGACTCCTAATTCCATCTTTCTCCGAATCCAAGCCGTCACGTGATCCTCAAAACTACTGACTTTCTTAGCTCGAACAACGGCGCCGTGGCTCCGCCTCACAACCTTAACGGCACTCCCATTTCCATTGCTACAAGCCTCGAGCCTCGAGCTCCGGTCCCAATCATCACTGCAGTCTCCGTTGGTGGTCAACGCAAGAGCCTGGACGACCGAGTCGGGGCGTGGCGACTCGGCGGCTGAGTCGGGAGAGAGCGGCTTGAGAGTCGGACACCGAGGTAGGGCTAGCGATGAGGAGAGAGAGAGATTGGCGAGGTCTGGCATTTCTGTAATTAATTGAGACTTAAAAAGAGAATTAATTAAACATTGGTTCTGGATTTGCTTGGTTTTATTTATGGGAGGAAAGAGAGGGAAATTTGGGCGGGAAAATTAGGGATTTGTTATTTTTAGTTTGAAGAGAGGTGGGAGAAATTACAATAGTAACTTGGCATGTGGGGCCATGTGCGTAAGAGAGGCGCGTGAATTTGAATTGGTTAGCCGTTGAGGTGTTACACGTGGAAGGCAAAAATAGGATTTTAATGTCTTACTATTTGAATAAATACAGAGGCGTTATCCGCAAACCCCCACGTGTTTGGGAAAATTATTGGCACCCCACTGGTGTAGAACATTGGACACTAATATCCATTCCGTTCAGATTCAATCATTCAAGCGTTAAAACTAACAGTTGATAATGTTATTTCAACCTTTTAAGAAGGTATTATTGATCTCTTGCATTCACTTAAAAACCCAAAATGAGTTTGGAGCAGCCTTGTCATAGCTGCTAGAGGCCATAAGGCACAAGCTACCTCCTTTAGCTGTAGTGAGGTTGGATCTGGCCTTTAACAGTCGTGAGAAGGCCAAAACGGCATCTCTGTGGGCCGCAGTTACCTAGTGTAACAAATCCCACATTGGAAGCGTATTGGGGAAGTCTTGGGCTTATAAATGGGGGGAGTCCCTCCACTTAATAGGTTAGCCTTTTGGGTGTGAAACTCCCAGCCCGTGACAAGATCCAAGAATTGTAAAGTTCTCTCAATTAGTAAAGAGTTCTCTTCTAGCATCTCTTGTGAGTTTGTGTGAGTGTTTTCTTACTTGCAGGGCTAGGAGCGTGAGCAAGCAAGGCTGACTTAGGGTAATCGTCGGGAGATTAGCACCTAAGGCCGAGCGAATCCGAGGGGAAGCAATCGGGTCGTTACAGTTGGTATCAGAGCAGACCCAATCCGTCTTTCGATGTCCCGTCAAGCGCCCACGCAGAGGCGTCCACGTGTGATTGTGGGTCCACACGAGAGTGAGGTGGACGGGTAGGCAGGGGGCCCCACCTGTGACGAGGGCGTCACAGGATTGGGTGGGGGAGAATGTAACAAATCCCACATTGGAAGCGTATTGGGGAAGTCTTGGGCTTATAAATGGGGGGAGTCCCTCCACCTAATAGGTTAGCCTTTTGGGTGTGAAACTCCCAGCCCGTGACACTAGGCCATTATCAAACTCCAAAGGCGGCCATAAAACCTTTTTTCAACCTATAGCAGCTGCAAAAGACCATTTTCAACCTCAAGCGATCGTTGCCTGCTCAGGTTTGGCAACAATTTTTGGTTCAGAATTTTAGGTCTTATTTGTTATTTTGTAAATTTTAGCGTTTTGGATTCAAAAACAAAGTTGATAAATCTAGTGTAATAGAAAGTTTTTAAACTTCTTAAGTTAGAAATGTCATTTCTGTTAAATTTTTTTAACAATCTAACAGAAATGGGGGTTGGGGTAGAATATTTATACCAGTAGGTGTTTTTTTATTTCCCAAACTTGTGGGGTTCTTTGTTATAATGCCTAGATACAATTATACAAATTGATTTCAATTTTTTATTTTTTTTTTTAGTTATCTCATCAATCTTATCTTATAAGAACTGATGAGAGATTTGTAATGTGTTTTATGCAAAGGTCGGGTATATCAATTTTTTCTTTTCTAAATTTTAATAAAATCTTCAAGCTTTAAATTAATTTATGATATATATATGTCTAGTGATGTTATCGATTGATATATTAATTACAAAGTATAATATTTAGTTATGGATTATGTTGTATTATTAGAAATATTATATTAAATGTGTTTGATTAGATTAAAATAAATTGGTGGATATATTATATTTTAACCCTTTGATTGGTTTAGTCAACGGTCTGAACTTGTTTGGCCTGTTGACCGGAGTGGTTCAATTTTTGGACCATAACTGGGTTGGGTTACCCTGTCCCGGTTTTGCCGGATCTAGTTGACACATTTTTATTAAATCTGTTGGGCTTTTAAGGGTTATTCTTAATGGGTTTGAAGTTTTTTGATGAGTTTAGGTTTCAATTGGGCTCACTTAATAAATGGGCTTCCGCTTCTTTTATTTGGGTTTTATAGACTAAAAAGTAGACTTAAACAAATGGGCTGGATTAACTAAAAGAATAGTGTTATTATATAGTTCAATATTTGACCCGAATTTTTGGAAATTTTATTGAAAAATGTGTTTGGAAAATCACGTTTCAACATGAAAAAAAAAAATTGATTTTGGCCAAATTTCTAGCCACTTAAGAAATTTACAAACTCAATCTAATTTGACAGTCTTTTTATTTGTCAATTTTCAAACTTAATCTAATTTCATTATACCATAAGAACCCTAATATATAAAAATAACTTAATGCAAAATATATCAATTTCTAAACCTTACTCTAATAGTCTAATACCACATGTAAAACTTAATAACAATTTCACCAATGACAAATACTCAATAATATAACCATATTTCTATGTCCCAAATTGCATAAACATAAATCCTAATATCTGAAACTTAAAGAATTTTACTATTTGTTAAAGAAGTAATACATATCTGGTTCCATGATTAGATTCCTTGATGATGTGAAAAGGCAGTGTATCTCTCTCTTTATTTCCTTTAAATCAATTGCTTATTTCTTTTAATGGATAAAGAAAATTAACGTAAGGAATAGAAGGAAAAAACCATTTTATATATATAGTAGTTTTATTAACTACCAAACTATAGTTATTTTATTAACTGCAGTAATCGCACCATCAAAGGTAAATGACCACCATTCCCCTTAGCTAATTTAATTATTTCAAAATAACCATGGACCACCTTATGTGAGTTAAAATATTTCTAACATTTTTAACCATTTCAAACGTGGAACAATCCTGATCTCCTTTGTGTATGAGAGATTATTATATATGACTCGTATATATTATATGAGAGATTATTATCTAATTTATCATACATGTCACTCATGTTCTATTGCAATAATTTGACAGAAGAAATATCTTATTCGTACATGTGTTTAGTTTCAACATTTCTATAGCCTCTTTTGAGTTTGAGGGTCCTTATTACTTATTAAAGGGATTAATTAACATTATCTTTGATGCAGTTTGGTTTCTTTTATGAACACAATTTTTTTATTACAAGGATTTTAGTAGTCACTAATAAGAGAATGCAAAGATTTTTATCTTTTGGTGATAGAGAAATACAAAATCTTGTATACTAGTTTATACATGTAAGAATTAGCTCTTATTAACGAGAAGTAAAATACAAATTCTAAATATATATTAAAGAAATTTTGATTTTTTCATGTAAAAAAGTTTTAAGGGTTAATTTTATTCGTTCCCTTAAGAGATACCTAAGTTTCAAGTGTCTCAGCATTCTTGAAAAGTATTAGATACCATCTTGAAATTATCAAAAGCAAAAAAAAATAAAATAATAATAATAATAATAATAATAATCATAAAACGCCTTAAAACTAAAAAAAGAAAAAACTTATAAATGTCAAAAAGACCCTACAGATATCATAAAGGGCTGTTTTCAATACTTTTCGAAAATCTTTCTAGTACTTGAAGCTTAACCATCTCTGGAGGGGGGAATAAAATAAGCCCTAGGTTTTAAAGTTTATATGGTTCGCATATGGGTTTTAAAGATTTTTTATATCAATTTTTTCTTTACATATTTGAATTATATCTTCAAGCTTTAAATTAATTTATGATATATGACAAAATACAACATAGGCTCTATAGAGTAGTCATACATATTAGTATTTGAAAATTGGTTTGTCACATGTATATAATTAAAGGTGGGCACCGTTTCTGCATATAAAAATTGACTTGACAAACCTGACTTGAACCGATTAAGTCGATTCAGATATCCAAGTAGCATTCAAACCAATTTTGAATATATAAGAACCGATTAGTTCTTGGTTAATTGAAAAATGCGTGCCTATAATCCGAATTGAATTGATTTGTTTTTATAAAATATTTGAAAAATCTACATACATGAGGCTATCAAAATATCATTACTTGAAAACAAAATATCAATACAACAATAGTATCGATGATTTGATCTTGACAGTTGACAGTAATGATTTCCATACGTTATAGGCAATGTATATAAAAATGTTAGAAAATAAGTTGAAATCTTAGTAAAAAGGAATTAAACTTGGCTCAGGAGAAAAGGAAAATTTTGGTCCTATTAATTTAAGAGCATTGATAAAGTTTAGGAAGCCTAGGGTTAAAGAAGATATAATATCTAATGATTCTGAAAGAATTATGATTGAAAAAAAAAAAAAGAAAAAAAAAAAAAGGAACTAGCACATGAGGTTAGTAAAATTTAAAAATTCTTGTATTCAATTGTCATCAATAAAATTCTTCAGAAAATTAATCTTCTGCTACAAAATATTCTTACAATTTTTTTTTTTTTTTTTTTGGCTAGTTAATTTAGGTCGTGGCTAATTGTTTCAACATAAAAATTATTGTACAAGCTAGCTTAGTTAGTTAATCTCTTGAAATTGAATGAAACGACTTGAAAAAAAATTTGTCCTTACTCAATAGTAGTACAATACTCTTTATAAAATACAAACATTATAATAATAATAATAAAATAATAATATAAAATAATAATAAAATGTTGATTTACAACACTCTTAAGCAGCAGATTCCATTCAGGAGAAAGAACATTTGGATCGATCTTCTCATGCTCAAGCAGAAGCCAAACATGAGTGAGCAATTCTCCACCTCTCCTAAGTTTCTCAGCATGGAGAGTCCAGGACAAATACTAGCTCCAGACACAAGATTTCCACCCAAACACTACTTATTTTCTCCATCTATCTTCTCTGTCTTGCATTTTCTTGCCAAATCCTGCACTTGATGTAGCACATTCCATTGTGATGTAAGCAATTTTCTTGGAAGTCCTTGGAAATAATTCTCATCAATGATTAGTTCATCTAGGATAATTGTACTACATAATGTAGCTTCATCCTTAATTATTTGT